AGTACAATTTATCTTTGGTAGAGAATACTACAGTTTGTTAGAGGATATCATTATATAGTCAATAGAGGATATCGTCCAGCCTATAGATGATATCATAGACACAATTATAAATAATATCATATAGCCAATAGAGGATATCATCCAGCCTATACATGATATTATAAACGCAATTATAAATGATATCATATAGCCAATAGAGGATATCATCCAGCCAATAAAGGATATCATAAACACAATTATAAATGATATCATATAACCAATAAAGGATGATATCATCTAGCCAACAGAGGATATCATAGACACAATTATAAATTATATCATGTAACCAATAGAGGATATCATCCAGTCTATAGATGATATTATCTACACAATAGATAACATAATCTAGCTTATATAATAGAATCAATAAAGGATATCATCCATTTTATAGAAGATGATTAGGGGATTTTTCCCTACCAATCATAACCTGACAAGTGGACCATTCAGGCTCTGCCAAGTGTCCGCCACATGGACCAATTGGAGCCTGCCACGTGTCAAGTGTTGATCAGTCCACCTTGGACCTCTTATGCTACGACACGTGGCCTCCCCCATGCCAAATGGGAAAACTGGCCACCTAGACCCAAAGTCTTGTGGAAGCCCAACCAGCCCTAGGTTGACCTAAACCTAGGACTGGCACGCATCCCAAGGCATATAAATACCTTCATTAATCCTCATTAATGGGGGGTGAAGAACATTAATTACACTCACCTAAACACTTAGATCACTCCTCACCTAGAGGAACCAGATCTCCTAACCTTTACTTTTCCGCACTATTCACTCCTCATACGCGTTCTAACTTGATCGTCGGAGGCAAAACTCCCACCACAAGGAGTCTCCGTTGTTTTGCAGGTACAGGCGCAAGGATACCAGTCCCGAAATTGTAACTCTCCCGCAAGACATCAAAAAACCCCGAAACATTTTGATCTCTTCCCTGGCCTTGAGGGGAACAAGCGGCATGCTGCGACCGCCTGCTAGAAGAGGCGGATCTTTGTTCCACCTATTGTAGCGCTTGTTCAGCAGCTTGTCAGGCAATGATGAGGAAGGTGTTTCTCCAATCCTTCCATTTATTTTCTTTGCCCTTCGTCATCAGATAGCCTTTGTGGCTAGTTATTTGGTACCAGCCGGTACCGCTTGCTTTGGGGGTCCGGCTAAGATAGTTCATATGGGTGAACGCCTCAAAATTCGGCTCCACCCCATGCATTTCACATTCGGCTACATAGCCGAGGATGTTGAACCAGGAATTCGGGGCTAACTGCCATAGCCCCACCTCGTATCCATCGAGGATTTGTTGAACGACCGGATGCAAGGGAAATCGAAGCCCAGCCTTAATGGCCGCCTCGTAGCAGCCAAAACAGGCGTCGGCGTAGCTTGTTCCCGCGGGCCAGACGATTTTATCCTCACCATCCGGCACAAATACTTGAAAATCAGGACCCATCACATGGTCCGATAAAAAAGAGTCTATTCGTTCTTTCATGGCCTTGATCCGGCCCTTTGGGACATGACAGTGGTAAGGAGTATTCAACTCCCTATGAGAGGCGGATGGTTCCGACCAGCCGTCCCCCTTTTCAGCAGCATGAGAAAGTCTCACCTCATGCAAACGAGAGTGCCTTTTCTCTGAGTTTATAGAGAGGCGACTTGAAGAGCTAAAGTCAGACTCACTATCAGAAGAGTCCGACTCCTCCCCTCTCCCTGAGGGGGTCGGCCCCTCTTCTTCTTCAGGGGCCGTCTGCTGACTGGCCAGGTCAACAGTGAAGTGGGAAGTGGCTACCTTAGCTCCTTCCTCAGAGCTCTCGGCAGAAGGGCCACCTTGGGTCCCTACGGTATCAGGCGGCTGGTCCGACAGCTCACTAATCTGAACCCGGAAAGAGGAGCCATCAGAGTTTTCAATCCTCTTTGTCTTTTTTGTTCTTGCCATACTGTACTGCATAGATACAAAGACAGTTGGATTTCGGGACTTGCGCAACGTTTGAAGTACCGCAGGGCAGTCGGCACCCCTAGTCCTAGACTCAGCCGTCCCCGGTGACCGGCTGATTGCTAACCTAGGTCGTGCCAGATGCTTTTGAGGTCTCATTTTCAAAAAAGAAAGAAAAAATGCAAAAGCAAAAAGAATAAAGGAACAGACGGTTACCTGAAACTTAAGTTCTGAAGGAGAGCTTGATCGAACAGACGCCTAACAAAAGCAGTCGGCCTGTCAGAAATAATAGGCTGGTCAAAAGTTGCAAAGTGTCAGAGCTCAAGTTCAAGGGTCCGAGAGTTCTCTTGAAAAGTTCGCAAATGTGAACAAAAGACTTGGTCAACATGCTCTTATATAAGGCAAAAGGAGAATGCGAAGGGTCGCCTCCAAATTCAAAAAACGAGCGGGAAAAATGCTCGGCCCGTCATAGGGTGACACCTGTAGCAGGTCGTCGCCTGTTACAGGCCGACACTTGTCACAGGTGACATGTGAACAGTCACGTGCCACTTGTGAGGGGCAAATGATTAGGGGATTTTCCCCTACCAATCATCACCTGACAAGTGGACCATTCAGGCTCTGCCAAGTGTCCGCCACATGGACCAATTGGAGCCTGCCACGTGTCAAGTGTTGATCAGTCCACCTTGGACCTCTTATGCTACGACACGTGGCCTCCCCCATGCCAAATGGGAAAACTGGCCACCTAGGCCCAAAGTCTTGTGGAAGCCCAACCAGCCCTAGGTTGACCTAAACCTAGGACTGGCACGCATCCCAAGGCATATAAATACCTTCATTAATCCTCATTAATGGGGGGTGAAGAACATTAATTACACTCACCTAAACACTTAGATCACTCCTCACCTAGAGGAACCAGATCTCCTAACCTTTACTTTTCCGCACTATTCACTCCTCATACGCGTTCTAACTTGATCGTCGGAGGCGGAACTCCCACCACAAGGAGTCTCCGTTGTTTTGCAGGTACAGACGGAAGAATACCAGTCCCGGAATTGTAACTCTCCCGCAGGACATCAAAAAACCCCGAAACAGAAGATATCATAAAGAGGATATTATCAAAATAATAAAGGATATCATCCAACTCATAGAAGATACTCGTATCATAAAAACAATAGAGGATATAAAAAAAACAATAGAGGAGATATCATCCATCGTATAAATAATATTATAGACACAATACATGATATCATCCAACTTATAGAGGATATCGTCCAACTTATAGATGATATCATCCAACTGATTATAGATGATATAATCTACACAATAGAATTTATTTTATAAAAATAATTAAAAGGTCAACAATGGCGGAACCACCATTGAAGGTCCCGTACTAAGCTCGTGGGTGTAACATAACATGCTCATTTCTCAACCAACATACATGCATTTGTTATCAAAACGCTCACAATTCAACATACAATCGCATAGGACAATCAATTTCAACAATTATACATCACACAAGAAAGCTCCAAATCGATTTCTTTAGGCATTTTTCGAAAAATCCGAGAATCTCAAGCAATTATCAAGCCAATTTAAGCATAAATCATGGACAAATATAATTAAAAAAATCTTTATTTTCTCTCTCCTCTCAATTCAAGCATAAATCATAGACAAATAAAATAGAAGAATTTAGCAGAAAGTTGAAGAGAGAGAAAATAGGGGTGGGTTAAAGGTGAGGGAGGAGAGAGAAAGTGAAGTAGGATAGCATAAATCATAGACAAATAAAATAGAGGAATTTAGTAGAAAGTTGAGGAGAGAGAAAATAGGGGTGGGTTAAAGGTGAGGGGGGAGAGAGAAAGTGAAGTAAGATTGAGTGGGAGTAATGTTGGTGGTGGTGAGTGGAAATGAGGGTGTGCGAAGTTTGTATTGCCGTATAAATAATAGATGGACTGACGAAATATTTGGTTAGTCCGAACTGACGCAATAGTTTGCATAAATTGATGGCCTTCTGAATATAACTCTTAATAAAATATTTATTTACAAAACTACAAATAAGAAGTATGAAGTACAATATTTTCTTTGATTTGCCCCTTGCTTCGTCTTCATAACAAACATTTTCAATATTCCTGTATCTAAGAGACTAAGAGTTGGACAAAGACTGTACAAGCGTCCCGTAGGAGACTAGGAGTGATTTTACCTTGTTCTTGCATTAATTAATATTCTTTTTGTTTTTTTTACTGTCTTCGTACTTGTTTGTTTTAGGTGTTTTCAAAGCATTTTAAACACAAATATTTTTAACCGCGTGTTGGGTAGAATTTTTAAAATTTGATATTTAGAAAATAATTGTACAATGCAAATTGAGAAAAGTCTATTAAGACCTCAATGAACTTAGAGCCTGGGTATATTCAACTTTTTAATTATGTTTAATAAAATTATATACTTTCCACTTTTTTTTTTTAAATATTACTTCAATTATTCTTTGAGAAATAGCTTTACCACATCAATATATATTGAAGATTCAAAGCCAAGACATGAGTTTGTAGTGCCTCCTTCTAAAAACTAAACTACCCTTGCTATCGTGATTAGTCAACCAATACATTTGCAAATTATTTTATTGTAAACTAAACTTAAAAGGAAAAATTGACGCCAATATTCTCAACTATCGGCCCTCTTCTATAAAAGGTCGAAACTTTTGATTAGCTCAAGACAATTCTAATTGTGGGGGTCTTTCCCAAAATGGTCTCAATTTATGTAGAAATTTGAGGTTAAAATTGACAAAAAATAAATAAAAATATCTCGATTTATGATCAATTCAAGATTTTTCAAAATCTTAATCGAATGAAAATGTTGCATTTAAATTAAAAAAAGAAGGGGAGGGGGGAGGGGGGACTCGGAGTAACGAATAAGTGTAAAAAGTCAGAGTATAGCTTAAGGAGTAATAAGTAAAAGCATGGTAGAAAACTAAACACGTGATTCATATATCCAGTTAATTTAGACAATTCTCTTCAAATGATAGAGAGTATAAAAAGAGATTACTGAACACCCTTACAATTAAACAAAGCACAACAAAAGAAGTCTTCTCTTTTCAGTATTCATTGCTGTCGTCCAAACAATACTTTGAGCCATAAAAATTTGACCACGTCGTCGCTACACTTCTAATATTGCAACTTTTTATTAATCAAATTCAGTCCATCTTTTTATATTTATTATAAGTCCACATTTTTATAAATTTATTTAAGCCTTCATTTCTCCACCTCTCCTTCTTTCTCTTCTCCCTTCTCTCTTCTCTCTCCTTTCATTCATTAATTTCATTAACACTTGCAAAACACGAGTTATTTGTTTGCAAATTGCTTCACTTAATCATCCTTATTAAGGTTAGTCATTTTCTCATTATTATTTCTCTTTATTTCTACGTACTACGCATTTATTTCCTCTTATATTTCCTTCATTTTTTTTTTTTTTTTTTGGCAAGATTATATTTCCTTCATTTAGGTTGGTATGATGATATGATTCATATGATATCCTTTTTTGGTGTATATCACGCGTCTATGGTTTACTACATGTCTATGCTTAACATGAATGTAATTTTTTTAGTTCCTTGTTTAAATTATTATTCTAAAAATACAATCTTAAAAAATTTACACAGCTTGCACCACTTAAACAAGTAATAAAATTTTCTATTTTATACGGAGTACGATATATATACAGCACCTTTTCTATTTTGAGTAAGCGAATTACTTATATATACTTTTATGTATACATTTATTTGCTTTGATTTAATTTTCCTTTAGCGGTAGAATTCGTGAATATATTTGTGGGGCAATTTGGTATAATAATAAGGAAAATGTTATACATAACCCTTAGGACTATATATAAGCATTAAATACACATTATAAAATCGTATAAATTTAGAAAAATTATTAATAATAATAATAATAATAATAATTTATTTGTTTTTAATGTTTTTGAGGGGATAATTTAATTTTAATGTAAGAATGAAGACATAGAATCTTTCATCGGATCCCTCACTAATCCGGTAATTTTTTTAAAAAAATTGTACTCGTATTTTTTTTTTTTTTTTTTTGGCAAGAATAATAAAACTGTAATGCGAGTACTGCAATTATGTTTACTGGATTTGTTATTAATAATTTGATTTAGTTTGATTTGATTGGTCGAGGCCCTATGGTCTATGGAATCGTGGGTAAGGTCAATTTACTGTTAGATTTCATCCACGTGATTTTTTTGTTCCTTTTCCCCAGTACTCCGTAGAATATTACGAGTACAAAATACAGAGTTTAGGGGAGTAAAAGTTTATACGAGTTAACACCATTAGTTAATTCGTTACACTACTATTGTTTCAGGATTATTGTGTTACACTTGAATATTTTTTGTCCCTACTACTCCATGTATGATAATTACAATAAAAAAGTAATTATTTTTACTAGTAGATTAATTTGAAACAAATCGAGCTACAAATATTTTAAGTTTTACATTGACAAATATAAAAATGAGCAATTAGGATCTATACGGCAGCAGTGCAAGTAGTACCGGTAGAGTTGTATTCTTACAGTCCATGTTTAGTATGAAAAAGTTCTCTGATAAAGTATAGTCGTAGAGGATTCTAATCACTCTATACTCCATAGCAATCATTTTTTTAAATTGTCAAATTACAATCAACCTTAAAATTTACGATTTATTTTCCTAATAAATTTTTTTGTTTTAAGTAAAAGTACCACTATTAAATATTCCTAAAAAAAAAATCACTATTAAATAACTCCATGAGTTTTGACCAAAATGATTTGGCGACTCGTTTAGCCTCTTAGTTATTCAACTTTTTTTTTTCCCTAATAAACTAATTTTTTAAAAATTGTTGTGAATAGAAAATTATAATAAATAAAAGTGCTAACTATTCATTCGTAAAAGATTAATAAAAAAAAAAAAAAGAATAAAAGTAAGAATTAGGACAAGTTATGTTCTCCTTATTTTCACTTATTATAGTAGTTAGATATAATAGGTTCTTGAAACACACACTCTTAATAAGAGGAAAACGAAAAAAAAACTTAGGACACACTAGTCAAATCTTGGCTCAAATTTAGTAAGAAGTGATGCTTATTTTATTACTAGGTGATTTACACAATTTAATAGGTGGTTGTTTTCAAATGTAGAATAATAAAATAGTGGTTGTTGGTAAGTCTTTATCACCTTCTAAGCTTTCTTCATTTTTATTATACTATGTACTTTCACCGTTATTATTTGGAAGAAACATATAGGTACATGAATTAAGTTTTATGTAATTATAATTATTATTATTATTTTTTCCCCTCTTGTATCAATGTTACCCATGCAATTAACTACTCCAGACTTTACTATTATACACATACACCACCGTCAGAACCACGATCACCCCACCGACGCTTCTTTCTCTCTCCTATTTTTAAGTGTGGTGGGAGTGAGTGACTTGAGCTTATTTTATTGTTTTTGTATCAGAAATATGAAATGGGAGATTCAAGATTTGGAAACGTGACTTTTCCGTGACATCAGTTGTCAACGAGTTGTGGTATGAATACGTATCAGATCTCTGACTATTCTTGAGTCTGAATTAAGTCCAAGCTTAAACAAGTTGGGTCCAAGCTTAAATCATTTTTTGACATTTAAGTATTAAAATATTTTTTGTATAGACTTAAAATAAGCTAGAATATAAAACAATGTTATAATTAATTAAACTAAATATTTGTTTGATCCGTGTAAGAATTAGCTTCTCATGGAAAAATGTATATGTATATGAAGTACGGAGTATATTTTTTTATTTTTTTTTTAAAGTCATGGAAAGTTACTTTCATCTATAAAGCATTGTTTATTGACACTTTGACATTTGTAATTCATGGAAAATATAACAGCATATTAAAACAACAATCATATATGAATGACATTAATTTTTTTAGAGCCTAGTAGAATTTGATCCAATAACTTTGAGTAAATTAAGCCGAATTAAACTTTGTTATTGTTATTGACTCTATACATTGTACGAGTACAATGGAGTTTTTTTACTCGTATCATTGTACCCATATCTAAAACAAAGTACTCTGTACAAATTATAAATCCTTTTTTATACAATACTTCTCATAAAAATCTTCCATTTATGTTAATTTTTTTTTTACCAAAAGCTTTTAATTTCTTCCGTTAGTTGGGTCCATTAAAGTTAAAACCCTTGCATTCTCTTCCGTTTTAGGTTAGATGTTAAACTTTGATATCTACGATATTCACATATCTCATTTTTACCGTAGTTTCTGTACAAGCATATAAAAATACGGAATAAAACTTATAGTTTATAAAATGTTTTGAGTTTTATATCAATGTATATTTTCAATTATCAAATTTATACGGAGTATCATTTTTACAAATACGGTAAATGATTTAATGTTTTAACATTGTTCTTTATAGGAGTACTTTTTTTGGTGGCTCTGTATTTTTTTTAATTTTACTAATTTTGGAATTATTTCCAACATCTTCTTACAAAATCTCCTCATACGTAAGATGGTCTGGAATCCTAAAATGATCATTTTAACCACCATTGATTCCCCTCAATTAATTCTCTGTTTCGTCAATTAATTTTGGAAACCTTATCTTCTGCTCTGGATTATATTCTCTCTTTTGGCGGGAAATTTATTAATTGCTTTTGGCCGATTTCGACAGCTTATTGCTATGATTTTCCCTTTCAGAATTTCTTAGGTCTTTATCCTTCATTCTCTTTGTAGCGGTCGGTATGACAAAATTTTGTATAAGCCGAACTTACAATACAAATAAATATAAAGTATTTTTCTTAAAGTTTCTTTTAAAGGTCATCCCTTTACCTTTTTTTCTATTTTTTTGTAAGTAACAAAATTTTTTCTAATTTAAATTATTACGGAGTATAGTTTGTTTCACGTAAGACTTGCTACCTCGCCGAGTTGGCGGGGTGAAAAACTCTATACTTTGCCCTTAGTTTGAATAGAATAGTCTTGAGGGTCATTATCTACAGCTAGATTTCATCCACATGTATTTTGGTCACTATTTATTGCATACATCATTTTCATTCAATCATGTCTTTATTAATAGCCAAATTTTATGTTCATATATAATGCAAGTAGTAGAAAAGGGGCCAAGTACATTATACATATTGTATCTCCGAAAAAAGTTGTTAGGTGGCCCTTCTTTTTTTTTTTTTTTTTTTTTTTTTTTTTTTGGCATCATTATGATTTATGACCCCTATACTATTTAATGAGATGATCAAAGTGAGCAGGGAAAAAGCTATATTTTGGTGACTAGCTCTTCTTCTTTTCCAGCCTAATTCACTAGATTTGTTGGACACCCACAATACCAAAAAAAAAAAAAACCAACTTTAATGCAAATATTGGTGCTTTTAATATTTTCTGGTATCAAATCAACTTTGTTACTACTTGTTTAATGCTTAGCTTGTAGGATTAATACTCCCACAAATTTAGCAAATTGCCTAAAAGTTGGTACCCTTTTGCCTCATAAAATGGAATTCTTTTGAATCTAGTTTTATGAGTTTTTGTTAATTTATTTGGTTTTGTTCATAATTATTTTCCTAAACTTTTTTCACAGGAAGTTGAAGTCCTGCATTGATACATGAAAAGTATAGAAAGCTAGCAACTTTGTGAAGGACATTAAAGATGTCTTCCAATTCTTGGATTACTAATCTTTCATGTTCAAATCCTTCATCACAATCATTGTTACAATGGGTTAAATTCATATTACTTTCTCCATGTCCTCAAAGAGTTCTGTTTATTTCTGTTGATGTTATCTTCTTGGTTACCCTCTTTGGTGTATTTTTGTACAATTTCATCTATAAGGTTGTCTTAGGAAATCGCCATGACTCGAGCAATAGGAAGAATACCACAGCTACGAACCGAGCTCGTGTTCAGACAAATGTTTGGTATAAACTATCCATCATTGTAACAACTTTGTTAGCATTTGCTTATTTACTTGTTGCTATCATAGCTTTTGGTAGTAAAACTCATGATTTATCTTGGAACATTGTGGATAAAACATTTGGGATTGTTCAAGTATTGACTTATGTTGCAATAGTCATCTTGATTGCTCATGAGAAGAAGTTTGAGGCATCTAAGCATCCACTCTTGCTTCGAGTATATTGGGTTGCTAGCTTTATAATCTATGCCTTGCTTGTTGCTTCGAGTTTGATCCGTTTTATTTCTTACAATGGAGATGTTGGATTTGATTATTTGAGGTTGGAGGATATAGTTTCCTTTGTCTCTTTCGCTCTTGCAATTGTTCTTCTTTTGATTGGGATTAGAGGGTCAACGGGAATAATGGTAGCAAGACATGAGGCAGTAGACAATGGAACTTCATTAAGTGAGCCACTTTTGGAGAAACAGACTGTAAGTGGTTTTGCTAATGCTTCATTTGTATCAAAGACCTTCTGGTTTTGGATGAACCCTCTACTTAGTAAAGGATACAAAACACCTCTTACGGCGAATGATGTACCATCCCTTTCACCTCAACATAGAGCTGAGCTAATGTCTGACCTCTTTGAATCCAAGTATCCTAAGCCACATGAAAAGTGCAAGAATCCGGTTAGGACTACCCTTTTAAGGTGTTTCTGGAAGGAAGTTGCATTTACAGCTTTCTTAGCAGTTATTCGAGTTTGTGTCATGTATGTTGGTCCTGTTCTTGTTCAGAAGTTTGTTGATTTTACTTCGGGTGTGGGAAGCTCTCCCAATGAAGGGTATTACCTGGTCCTCATCCTTCTTGTTGCAAAGTCGGTTGAGGTATTGACTTCACATCAATTCAACTTCAATTCTCAGAAGCTTGGGATGTTAATTCGTTCAACCCTCATCACTAACTTGTATAAGAAAGGGCTAAAGTTGACATGCTCGGCTAGGCAGGCTCATGGAGTTGGACAAATTGTGAATTATATGGCTGTTGATGCTCAGCAACTCTCTGATATGATGCTGCAGCTTCATGCTGTTTGGTTGATGCCTTTGCAACTTTCTGTGGCGTTAGCTCTTCTCTACAACTATGTCGGTTTAGCTATGGTCACTGCATTTATTGGAATCATTGGAGTTTTACTGTTTGTTTTCTTTGGCACTAAGAGGAACAATAGGTTTCAGTTCAATTTGATGAAGAATCGTGACTCTCGAATGAAGGCTACAAATGAGATGCTTAACTACATGCGAGTGATCAAGTTTCAAGCTTGGGAAGAGCACTTCAACCACAGGATCCAATCATTTCGGGATGCTGAGTATGGTTGGCTAGCCAAGTTCCTGTACTCCATAGCAGGCAATATTGTGGTGATGTGGTCCACGCCTGTATTGATATCCAGCCTTACATTTGGCAGCTGCATCCTTTTAGGAATCCCGCTTGATGCAGGGAAAGTTTTCACCACTACAACAATCTTTAAGATGTTGCAAGAGCCAATCAGGACTTTCCCTCAGTCTATGATTTCAATATCACAGGCTATGATTTCACTCAGAAGGCTTGATGATTTTATGATGAGTAGGGAACTTGCGGATGAGTTGGTGGAGCGAGTTGAGGGCTGTGATGGTGTTACAGCCATACAGGTTGATGATGGTGTCTTTAGCTGGGATGATGAAGGTGGAGAGGAGTCACTGAAAGATATAAATTTAGACATAAAGAAAGGGCAGCTTGCTGCTATTGTTGGCACTGTTGGATCAGGAAAGTCATCTTTGCTTGCCTCAATTCTCGGTGAGATGCACAAAATAAGTGGAAAGGTATATTCATTAATCTTGTCTTTTTCTCCTTGCATTACTTGTTAAGCATTTATGTGTGCTTTGTAGTGACACTGTTAGATTTTTTTAGCTTTACTTTCTGTATACAAAAGCTAAAGTACTGCATTACTCGGACAATATACTTTGGAAGGCAAATGTATATATGGTATAGCTGATTATATTTCCTTACTGCAGGTAAGAGTTTGTGGGACTACAGCTTACGTAGCACAGACATCTTGGATACAGAACGGAACCATTGAGGAAAACATCCTGTTTGGTTTACCTATGGACAGGGAGAAATACAAGGAAGTTCTGAGAGTTTGCTGCTTAGAGAAGGATATGGAAATGATGGAATTTGGGGATCAGACTGAGATTGGAGAACGTGGCATCAATCTCAGTGGTGGTCAGAAGCAACGGATACAACTTGCTAGAGCTGTCTATCAGGACTGTGATATTTATCTTCTTGATGATGTCTTTAGTGCTGTTGATGCTCATACTGGATCAGAAATATTTAAGGTTAGTGATATTTTAACTTGATAATTATTTTTTTTCTTGAAGTGTGTTTTTCCTACATTATCATTTGAGGTTACTTGTAAAGTCAAGTCCGAGTACAAGGTTTGAAATTGTCTGAAAGGGAGTCTTGCAGTATTGTAGACCAGTATGTAATTGAGTTTTAATTTTACTCACCGTTATTTTTCTTTTGATTCAAAACAACTGATGCCGGTTCTTCACTACAATCTGATCTTTTCTGCTGATCCACTGCAGGAATGTGTAAGAGGAGCTCTGAAGGATAAAACAATTATTCTTGTGACTCATCAAGTGGACTTTTTGCATAATGTTGACCTTATCATGGTGAGCCATTTCCTTGCATCAAATCTTCAGGTGTCTGCAATGCTCCATAATATAGCTCTATCAAATTTTTAATGACAATTTTTTTTTTTTTACCTGAACAGGTCATGAGAGACGGTATGATTGTGCAAGCAGGAAAATACGACAAACTTCTAGAAGCAGGCACAGATTTTAATGCACTTGTAGCTGCCCATGATACATCTATGGAACTTGTTGAAGCAGGCAGTAACACTGAGCTTTCAGAAGATTCTACACAACAGAAATCTCCTAGAGAATTAACCACTCACAGCAAAGGTAATGGCGTGAGCAGTTCTTTGCAAAGATCTAAGTCAGATGCAACACAGAAATCAGAAAAGGGAGATGCTATGCTTATCAAAGAGGAAGAAAGAGAAACTGGGAAAGTCAGTTTACGTGTGTATAAGGATTACTGCACTGAGGCTTTTGGATGGTGGGGTGTAGTTGCGGCTTTGGTGTGTTCTTTTTCGTGGCAAGCTACTGTGATGGCTGGTGACTACTGGCTGGCTTATGAAACTTCTGAAAAGCATGCTTCTTACTTTGACCCTTCTTTCTTTATTAGTATCTATTCTATCATTGCCCTGCTTTCTGTTGTATTAGTCCTAGTAAGATCCTTCTTTATCACTTTGTTTGGGCTGAAGACAGCCCAGATTTTCTTCTCTCGGATCCTCCGCAGTATTCTTCATGCTCCCATGTCATTTTTCGATACTACTCCTTCAGGAAGAATTCTAAGTCGGGTATGTTTTATTTTAGATTTATTTTATTTTCTTCATATCCTTTTCTTTTTCCATAATAGTCATTTATATAGCATTCAGATAGCTCAATTGTCCTTACTTTTTCTTTTCATATTATCCTCTACGTCAACTGCCAAGTAGCGTAATACTGAGTACTGATTGGAACTTCTCATTGCTTTCAGGCATCCAGTGATCAGACCAATGTCGACATTCTAGTGCCTTTTGTTTTGAACCTTACAATTGCAATGTACATAACACTTCTTAGCATCATTATTATCACTTGTCAGTACGCCTGGCCAACGGTGTTCCTCTTGATTCCGCTAGGGTGGCTGAATTTGTGGTACAGGGTAAGAGTACTAGCCCTTCTTTTGAATTTTGATTCTTTTATTTTGTATTTTTGGAAGCAGAATATTAAGGAAAGTTGTAAGTAATGGTCAGAATAATGGTAGCAGGAGATATAATCTCATAGTTTGATTGAAATCTGCGAATGGCTAACTCACTTTTTTTCAATATTATAGGACTTAACTCATGTTTGACTTGGTTGGCCAAAGCTTGCTTATTTGACCTCTAAGACATTAATTAGTCCAAATATCTATTGTCTTACAATGAGGTTAATAAATTTTCACTAAAATGATCATTGTTCATATATTTTAACTATGATATAATGATAAAATGATATTGGTTTAAAAACAAAATTTTAGCATACTGATGTATTTGATATTTGATTAGGAACTGATGCATTTGATAGGCCTGAAACTTTGACATTAGTGATGTATAGATTGAGTAGCTGTAATTTTTTTTTGAAGACGAAGCAAAGTAAATTATATAAGTTGCCAAACTTAAATTACAGTTTTCTTCCCACCCCCCCCCCCCCCTCTCTCTTCTATCCTTATCTATTGCCTTAAATCATGCAGACAAGAAGATAATTGTTCTTTCATGATTTCACTTGATGAAATCAGTTGGGACTTCTAATCCTATTTTAACCTGCATAAATTTCTACTAGCCTTGAAGCCTTGTACACTGTACTGAATTATGTTTGATTTGCAGGGATATTATCTTGCAACATCACGTGAATTAACTCGCCTTGATTCAATCACTAAAGCACCAGTCATCCATCACTTCTCAGAAAGTATTTCTGGCTTCATGACAATACGTTGCTTCAGAAAGCAGGATAGATTTATTCAAGAGAATGTGAATCGGGTGAATGCAAACTTGCGCATGGATTTTCACAACAATGGATCAAATGAATGGTTAGGCTTCCGTTTGGAACTGCTCGGGAGCTTGCTCCTGTGCTCATCAGCCTTATGTATGATCCTGTTGCCTAGTAGTATCATTCGACCAGGTTATTACTAACTTCTGTGCACATTTTCCCACTTTTTTTTCTTGGTAAATCCATGCATATTCTAAATAGGGATGCTGAACTCTAATCGTGCTTTTCAGAGAATGTCGGTTTGTCACTATCGTATGGACTGTCCCTCAACTCTGTACTGTTCTGGGCTATGTATACCAGCTGCTTTGTAGAAAATAGAATGGTTTCTGTTGAGAGAATAAAGCAATTCACCGCAATCCCATCTGAAGCTGAATGGAAAATCAAGGACCGCCAACCTCCTCCAAATTGGCCATCTCAAGGCAATGTTGAACTCAAGGACTTGCAGGTCAGCTAGTTCACATGCCCATATTTTGTATCTTTAAGCTACAAAGAATTTGTAGCTTGACCTTGATGCTCCTTTACTTTATTCTAATCGAGAGTAAATTATGTTTACAGGTTAGATATAGGTCCAACACTCCTCTTGTACTGAAGGGAATAACATTAAGCATTAGAGGGGGAGAGAAAATAGGCATTGTTGGGCGAACAGGAAGTGGAAAATCAACTCTTATTCAAGTGTTTTTTAGGCTTGTTGAGCCCTCAGCCGGGAAAATTATCATCGATGGTATTGACATCTCAACACTAGGCCTTCATGATCTTAGGTCTCGATTTGGGATCATACCTCAAGAACCTGTTCTTTTTGAGGGGACTGTGAGGAGCAACATCGACCCCATTGGTCAATATTCAGAGGAAGAGATCTGGAAGGTAAGATCAACTAAATGCTGCTCTAAAAATGTTCCTTGCTTCTTTAAAATCTTGCTGACTTTTGTTTCTTTATCTAATTCACAGAGCCTTGAACGATGCCAACTTAAAGATGTAGTGGCTTCCAAACCCGAAAAACTTGAAGCTCCAGGTATAGTGTTTTGATTACAGTTATATCATGAAGCTTTTTGATTCAAAGCAAGTTTAAACTGGGAAGTAAATAATTTATTTTTGTTTGGGTCAATATAACAGTGGCCGATAATGGAGAAAACTGGAGTGTAGGGCAAAGGCAACTTCTATGCCTAGGTCGTGTGATGTTGAAGAAAAGCCGGCTTTTGTTTATGGATGAGGCAACTGCTTCTGTAGATTCTCAAACAGATGCAGTGATTCAAAAGATCATTAGGGAAGACTTTGCGGCTTGTACAATCATCAGCATTGCTCACAGGATACCGACAGTTATGGACTGTGATAGAGTTCTTGTGGTAGATGCAGGTAACGATTCTAAGCTCATTTGACTAAAACGGTACCTCACTACAATAAAGTATGCTCAAACAATATTATAACTCTGAAAAATAAATTATGTCTGACAGGATTAGCAAAAGAATTCGATTCACCAGCAAGGTTGCTCGAGAGGCCATCAATTTTCGGAGCACTGGTACAAGAATACGCTAATCGCTCATCTGGTCTGTAGTCTTCACTCTGAAATCTCTACTACAGCCATGCATTATCATTGGGATGATGAAACTTCATCCTCTGCAAATGAATGCTTACCGTTCTGACTTCTGAGATAACGTTGCTTATGTCTTCTGATGTTCTTGAGCATGAAGGTGTTTTGATCAATAACCGCTGAAGATGAACATCTCAAAAGGCCATTTTGTGCTACTGCTGCTTTTTGGGATTGGGGGATCAATTATACATATTACTAGGTAGATTAATAGATTAGAAATTCTTGGAAGAGATATATAGCATATTTTCTGTTCTTCTTGTGAAAACTTTCTTCAAACAGACTAGCTCCATTTACTCCATAAAATGCTCTTCTGATTCAAATTTAAAGTCTATGTGCCTTATTTTTGAATTTCTCATTTGGTTATATTTGTAAACACAAAGTTAATCAGTTTCTGATCAGAGAGTGAGGGGTAGCTCAATTGGTAAGAGCTTCCCTCCCGGTTTCAGGTGATCCTGGGATCGATTCTCATCCCCGCCCTAGTGGTTCATATGAACCAAAAAAAAAAAAGAAAAACAGTTTCTGATCAATTGGAATATGAATTGATATGATGTAATTACAATACTGCAACAACAGTGGGTAAAAACAGTGGTATGAATAACAGCATAAAACTTAATTATTATCAGAAGAATATAGAAATAAATGAGGTTACCAAAGTAGTGGGAGGAATTTTCCAATTGCCATTTCAAATGTTTAATTGTTATTTGGGCTATTTGAGAGAGCCCGCAAGGGCAAAGCTGTAGACAGAATTCAATCCTAAGTTTTGAGTATCATCCTCTAAAACTTTAACCAACTAAGCTAGTTGGCATCCACATTGTCATTTGGACTATAGACTTTGATTATTGAGGAGATAGTCATAGCGCTGGTCCAAGTTTTCCAAAAAACTTCCATTATATTAGTATATTTTTGAAGAAGATAACTGAATAGTTGCAGCCTTGATCATCTTTCTAGATTTAGCTACTACAACATGACTAGTTCATCCATCCCCCGTTCTCCGGCTGAATCAACTTTACCATATCAGTTCCTCACTGTTGAGTCTTCACCATGTAATTTAGCGAACTGTATCTCAAAACTAGAATCATTATTAAAGCCTGGGATGTATCAGGACTATCAGAACCCGGATGAGCGATTGGCATACTCTTGAACCAATGCTCCAAAGAGTGATGGCCTTGCAAGTAAGTGTGAAGGGGAGTCAAATTCCTTTGCTTTCCCTATTCACATATAACATAAGTTAAGCTAAAGCAAATTGCAGTAAACTTCTGAAAGGCCAAAGAACCAACTGTATATGTTTACCTGCATCTATAACAAGAACTTTATCACAGTCCATAACTGTAGGTATTCTATGAGCAATGCTGATAATTGTACAAGCTGCAAAGTCTTCTCTTATGATCTTTTGAATCACTGCATCAGTATGAGAGTCAACAGACGCAGTAGCCTCATCCATAAATAAGAGTTGGCTTTTCTTCAGCATGACTCGGCCTAAACACAGAAGCTGTCTCTGCCCCACGCTCCAATTATCTCCACTATCAACCACTTTTTAAAGTTTAAAAGAAGGGATGAATAACTTCTTAGTGTATGATTACTATGAAGACACAAACAGTTAGAGAGCAAGAGGTTTATTTTACCTGGAGCATCAAGTTTCTCAGGTTTGGAAATAACCACATCTTTAAGTTGGCATCGTTCAAGACTCTGGATGAAGTACATAATAAAAAAAAAACAACTTATCAAAATTCTGAAGGAAATAAAGGAATATATTCTGAACTTCTCAATGACTTGGATTTACCTTCCAAATCTCATCTTCTGAGTATTGGCCAGTCGAGTCAATGTTGCTCCTTACAGTCCCTTCGAAAAGAACAGGCTCTTGAGGGATAATTCCAAATCGAGACCTAAGATCGTGGAGTTCAACTTTTGTTATGTCAATATCATCAATAACAATTTTCCCAGCACAGGGCTCAATGAGCCTAAAGAAAACTTGAATCAGAGTTGATTTTCCACTTCCTGTTCGCCCAACCACACCGACTTTTTCTCCTCCTCTAATGCCTAATGTTATTCCCTTCAGTACAAGAGGAGTATCAATCCTATATCTAACCTGTAAAAACAATATGTCGAAAAGAGCTTAATCAACATCAAGAAAAAGTACAAAAGTAATGAAAGCAAGATAGACAAGTATTTCATTCTGTTTTGTTCAACTGTTATTTGTACTTAAACCTGTAAGTTCTCAAGCTCAATATTGCCTTGTGCTGGCCAAGTTGGTGGAGGGAGACGACCCTCAAAATTCCATGCAGCTTCAGAAGGGATTTCGGTAAATTGCTTTATCCTCTCAACAGAAACCATTCTGTTCTCCACAAAGCAGCTCATGTATGTAGCCCAGAACAACACGGAGTTGAGAGACAGCCCGTATGAGAGTGACAGTCCAACATTCTCTGAGTCATGCAGAAAATGATCAAAACCCTTTTTTATGCATCAGACACATAAAGAGCAGAAATTACATTCGAACTAAGTTCAAAATAGAGAAATTTATCAGTAAAGTTAGAAGAAGAAACCTGGTTTGATGATGCTGCTTGGAAGAAGGATCATAAATAATGTTGATATGCAGAGGAGCAAGCTCCCAAGAAGTTCCAACCGGAAACCTAACCATACATTTGATCCATTGTTGTGAAAGTCCATGCAAAGATTCATGTTCACCCTCTTGACATTTTCCTGAATAAAGTCTCCCTGCTTTCTAAAACAGCGAATTGTCATGAATCCCAAAATACTTTCGGAGAAGTGATGAATGACAGGTGCTTTTGTGATTGAGTCAAGGCGAGTCAGTTCACGAGACGTTGCAAGATAAAAACCCTGTAAAACACAGATAACCTCTTTTAAACACAGTTTAATAGCTATTAATGTACTATAAACAAACCTACCTGCATGCCAAGATATTCTTGTCACAACCTCAACTTCATTTTCTCAAAAATATGACATAACAGGATTGATTCAAGGACAGGCAAGTATGCTTACCCGGTACCACATATTTAGCCACCCTAGTGGAATCAAGAGGAACACGGTTGGCCAAGCATACTGACAAGTGATGATGATAATGCTTACTAGTGTAATGTACATGGCAAGTGCAAGGTTGATAAAAAGAGGTACAGACACATCAACATTGGTCTGATCATTGGAAACCTGTAAGACAGGAGGTTTTTATCAGAACAGCTTGCGATATGTTTCTTTCCAGTAACATATTATTTGACACTCGGCAGAAAAAAAATCTATCCAAATAATAGGAAATTATATAACAGAATAACTGTAAATAACAAAAACTCCATTTATCAAAGAAGAGGTATGGATCAATAAGCTCACCCGACTTAAAATTCTCCCTGATGGAGTAGCATCGAAGAATGACATGGGAGCATGAAGAATATTGTGGATAATTCGTGTGAAGAAAATCTGGGCTGTCTTCAGCCCAAAGAACATAATGAAAAAGGATCGAAAGAAGACCAATATAATAGCAATAGCTGCTATGATTGAATAGATACTGATAAAGAATGAAGGATTGAAAGATGAAGCGCGCTCTCCTGAGGTTTCATAAGCCAGCCAATAATCAGCAGCCATTATAGATGATTGCCATGATAAAGAGAACAAAAATCCAGCAGCTAAACCCCACCATCCAAAAGCCTCAGTGCAGTAAACTTTATAGACATGCAAACTCACTTTTCCAGTCTCTCTTTCCTCTTCCTTGATCAGCCTAGTGTCACCCTTTTCTGAGTTGGTTCTTATAACAGAACAGTCCTCCCTACTTGTTTCTTCATGACTTGACAATGCTTTAGGAGAATTCTTAGGTCGAGGTGAATCTTTCGATAGTTCACTGGTGCTACCTGCTTCAACAAGCTCCATAGAGGTCCCCTGGGCAGCTACAAGGGCATGAAAATCTGTGCCTGCTTTTACAAGATGGTCATATTTTCCTCCTTGCACAATTGTGCCATCTCGCATGACCTGCTCAAGGAACAAACATTTCCATTTGAGCTAAAACATAAACTGTAAGAGATGCGTTATGCAAGAAGAAGGGCTCACCAAGATGAGATCAACATTATGTAAAAAGTCCACTTGATGGGTAACAAGTATAATTGTTTTGTCTCTAAGAATTCCTCTTATACACTCCTGCAGTTGTTCGAAGAATAAGCTTAGAATTCATAGTAACAAACCTGTTTATCTTAATAGTATATTTTTTTTCCTCAATTAAAAAGTAAAAATATAAGATGACCAACCTCATCAAAGACAAGCTAATAGGTAAAAAAGGTAGAGTAGTAAGAAATCGTAATTCACTACAGCAAATTGGACTAGATGCCTTAGGTTGGCTCCGTTAAAATGTTAACCAATTGTATCGAAGTTACAAGAACAGAACATAAAGAACCACTAAAAATCAATGATTTTGTAAAAAGTATTGAGCAATGTAAAAGTTTATAACATTTGCAACCTATAATTTTCGCAAGTCCTTAGACATAATATTACAATTAAGTAATGGAACAAGAAACATAGATGACTATGACAGAAAAAAGAATAACTATTAAGCCCAAAGAATGCAAAACCTTAAATATATGTGATCCTGTATGAGCATCAACAGCACTGAAGACATCGTCAAGCAGATATATATCAGAGTCTTGATAGACAGCTCTAGCAAGTTGTATTCGTTGCTTTTGCCCACCACTAAGGTTGATGCCACGTTCTCCAATATCAGTCTGATCGCCAAGCTCCATCATTTCCAGATCCTTCTCTAAGCAGCAAACCTGCAGAACTTCTCTATACTTTACTTGGTTCATAGGCAAACCAAACAGGATATTCTCCTGAATTGTTCCATTCTGAATCCAAGACGACTGAGCTACATAGGCGGTAGTCCCACAAACTCTGACCTGTGGAAAGAAATTATGAAATACCCTGAACATCAAAACAGATCAAATCATGTATTTCATAGATATAAGACATTAAAAAAAAAAAAAAAAAAATTACCTTTCCTTTAATTTTGTACATTTCACCAAGGATTGATGCAAGTAATGAGGATTTTCCTGATCCAACAATACCAACAACAGAGGCAAGCTGCCCTTTTTGTATGTTTAAATTTATGTTTTTTAGTACCATTTCCCTACCTTCATCATTCCAGCTAAAAAACCCATCTGTGACCTCGATTGCTATAGTACTATAGCCCTCAACTCGCTCCACTGATTCTTCCACCAATTCTCTACTTGTCATGAAATTGTCCAGCCTCGTCAGTGAAACAACAGCTTGTGAAATTGAAACCATAGACTGTGGGAAAGTCCTGATTGGTTCTTGCAACATCTTAAAAAGTGTGGTGGTTGTGAATACTGTAGCTGCAT